AGGGTTGGGGGGGGGGGGGGGGGGTATATGGGGACAGGAGCAAGGGGGAGCAGTAAAGGGAAACCAGATGAGAGAAGAAGAGAAAGGAGTAGAGTGTGAGGGTGTGGAGGGGGTGAGGTTGAAAAGTCCTGTGCTAATTATGATGCAGGGGGAGGAGAGACATGAGCAATCAAGAGGAGATGAATGGAATCACTACTCCCATGCATTTTCGCGTCAACACTAAGGGAATATCTGCTGAAGCCCAACAGGCTGTAGTCGACAGCATCCGAGTGGTGCCAAACTTTCCGAAGCCAGGTCTCTTCTTTAAGGATCTCTCGCTCCTCCTCGGCAACCCGGCGGCCTTTGGTAGCACCATTGATGCTCTCGTGCATAAGTATGCAGGACGCGGCATCACAGGTGCGCTTCTTCACTCTCCCCCCCCATCATCTTTCCCTCACATTCTCTCGTTGATCGTCGCAGCTGTGGTCGGCATCGAGTGTAGAGGCTTCTGCTTCGCCGCGCCTGTCGCCATCGCCCTCAAAGTTCCTTTCGTACCTTTTCGAAAACCAGGAAAGCTCCCATGTGAGTCTGCGCCTCCTGTCGCCCGAAGGCTCACGGGGAGCAGGTAAAAGCATAGGAATCGACTTCAAGCAGTCAGCAGGGAAGCACTCGGCCTACTTCGGCAAGGACAGGTCCTCCCGCCCGCCCGTTGGTGACACAGTGCTGAACCTCAAACGCATAGGTTGGAGATGCATGAAGATGGACTGACGGCAGGCTCCAAGGTGTTGAGCTGGGGGAGAGCTGAGAGTGCAGGTGGTAAGGCGAACTTGTCACAGGTCCTGGTCATCGACGACCTACTGGGAACAGGGTCGACCATGTTCGGAGCTTGTGAGCTGGTGGGTTGAGCCCCGCAATGTGGAGCGACTTTGACGTTGAGATCAGGTCGAGAAGGTCGGGGCAACCGTCGTCGAGTGCGCGTGCATAGTGGAAGTGAAGGAGCTCGCTGGTCGGGAGGTGATGCTTTGCTCTCGCTTGTCGTGTGCCATATTGACAGGCTTGTAGCGTGTGAAACGGGATATTTTCATCTTGATTGAAGACGCTGAAGATTAAACTTTCAATCCTCTTTGAGATTTATTGATAAGCTTACATGTTGGAACGAGACGAAGACGATGGGACCCCAGCGTGGACCTTCCAACTCAACAAGTCGTCGATGCTCACAGTTTTTCGTGCCTCTGTCCCATCTTTTAGCTGCCTCGCGCTACTTCCTTTCTCCTTGAGACGATTACCGTCAATCAGAAAGTTCAAGGTACGTGCAAGCATCGACACAGGAGATATTCGCTCGACCGTCAGCTTGAATCGAGTATTGCGCAGCCCCCAAGCCTCGCGGAGGAAGCGACCAGCGCTGTCCTCGTCAACTAGGATGTCGTTGATGCCGACTAGTCGATCCCCCACCTGCCCGTCGCATGTCAGTCCTAGACCAGATCGTTCAGTTGGATCACCTGCAGGCCGATGCGCTCCGACGGCGAGCCAGCGATTATCTTGATGATTCGACCTCCCTCTAGGAGCAGCCCAAACGTTCCCTGCCGGTCTGCTGGCTTCCCACGCGACCTTGCTGGGTCCTCATCGCTAGGAGCTCGTTGCTGGCTATCAGTGGCCTGAACCTTGACCGTTGCCACGAGATTCTCGCGATTCTCCCCTTCCTCCTCTTGGGGTCTGCCTTGCTGCTGCCGCCAGATTCTTTGAGTGATCGAATCCTCCACTCCTCGCATCGTATCTTTTGAAACGTACTCGAGACTAGTTTCTTTTGCTGGCGCGACTTCAGCTCGGTCGCGCGTTTCCCTCCTGCGCTCGGAGCTTGTTGGTCTTCTGGTCGCTGCTCTCTCCCAGCCCCTGCCATGTTTGTCATACCGCGTGTCAACATCCCCCGGCGCATCCTCTTGCTCACTCTATCACCCCTGCCCTGCTGCTGTGTGCGCGGTTCTCGTCTCGACCAGAGGAGATGTGAGAGCCATCGGAAGCGTCGCCGTGCTCTCCCTCCGACTCCGAGTCTAATGGCCGTCAGATGAGCGAGCGCATCGCGTGACTCACCGCTGACAAGCGAAGAGCCGTCCACCTCAACGCTCCCTTCACTCAGAGCTCGTCCGCTCCCCTGCCGCAGCCTCATGCATACTCCGCTCAACACCTTCACCTGCTCTTCCAGGCTCTGGCGAAGTTTTCGCTCGCGCGCGAGCTCCTGCTTCAGTTCTAGCACGCTCATGGCATGATCCTTCGCGTCGTCCGCGGGGTCTTCTACCTCCCACGATCGGATGGTCTCGAACATGTCAGCAAAGGTAGGGCGGGAGGAAGGTTCGTAGCTGAAGCAAGCGAGCAACATCCTGTGGATGGCGGGAGGGAGGCCCGAGGGGAGAGGGGGAATCGCTCCCTCAAGCACGCAGGATATGATCTTCGCCATCTTGACGTCCTGCCACGGCCGGTCGCCTGAGATCATCTCGATCAACGTGCAGGCGAAGCTCCATGAATCCGCCTTGGACGAGATGCCGCAGAACCTCTCGGGGTCGAAGGCTTCGGGGCTCATGTAGTTGAAAGTTCCTTGCACGTTTGAAGGCATGTGCAGGGAGTTCTCTTGCAGGATCTTGGATATGCCGAAGTCAGCGACCACGCAGTGATCGAGGTCATCCAAGAGAATGTTAGCAGGCTTCAAGTCCTGCAACACGATGTTCTGCTCGTGAAGCTCTGCCACCGCCTTGCAGATCTCAGCAGCGTACTTCTTCACGAGCTTTGCTCCAAGACTTCTCCGCGGTTGCTGTTGGATCAGGTCCTGAAGGCTCTGACGGTACAGTCGCATTACGATGCAAAGTTTCCCGTCCTTGATCGTCGTGCCGTAGACCTTGCAGACGTTGTGGCACCTCATGGCGGCGAGAAACAGCACCTCCGTCTCACGCCGGAACATGTCCATCTCCTGCTCCATCCACACGCTCGGGTATCTCTTGACCGCCACCTTCCTCCGCCCCGACCCTTCCAGCAGCTCCCCCAGCCAGATCTCCCCGAGGCCTGAGTCTTCGGTCTTGAGCTTATCGAGGAGGAGGACGCGAGATGGGTCGATCTCCAGGGGGCCACGAGGACGGTCTCCTATCTGCATCTGAGGGCAGGGAATCAGCTCCACCTAGTCAGCAGGCACATCCTCTCATCTTCGCCTTGGTGAATCCAACAGAAACCTCCTCCTCCCGGCCCCACGTCCCCTTTCGGTCATAGTGTCCTTTCTCTCGCTCCTCTCGTCTCCTCTCTCTCCCTCTGCTGTGGTTTCTTATCTTCCCTTGCACTTAAGAGCTATTCGATTCTATGTCTTGCCCTGCTGCATAGTGTCACCTCATCTCGTTCTTTGCCCTCCTTCACTTCACTGGTTCTTCTCATTTATGTCCAGGGATATGATGATTTGTATGGTGTCTAAGCTTCACTTAGCTAGTCTCTACTCTCAGTTTTCTTCTCTTCTCTTCTCTTTCTCTTCTCTTCTGCTCTCCTCTCTACTCTACTCTCAGTTCTCCTGTCCTCTCTACTCTACTCTACTCTTGCACTTTCTCTTCGCTTCTCTTTCTCTTTCTCTTTCTCTTCTCTTCTCTTCTCTTCTCTTCTCTTCTCTTCTCTTCTCTCGCTTTGCTTGTTCGTCAGAAAGGATTGAACTCTTCCGTTTTCCTTGTTTTGTTCTTTTCTGTAGACATTCAGGATGGCAACAGGGGTGGGTGCCGATGATTGTAGGGTATGGAAGAGGAGGGGTACTTGAACACAGAGGATAGGATCCTACAATTATTGGTTGATTCGAAAGATCAATGAGCTAGAGACCAGGAGGTGGGTACAAGGGAGTGAGGGTAGGGTCTCAACCTGGATGGGTGGGGTGGAGGCTGCTATTGGACCAAGTGGGGGTGGGAGCTTGATATGCCCGTAGGGCCGCATGGAGACGGCGATGGCGACATGCATCGCGACAGGCAGGCAGACCGGAGGCGTCAGCGATGAAGCGAACATGGCTGCCATACCCGCCTGTGGAATCAGAGGGAATGCGAAGGAGAAACAGCAGCAGAATCTCTGCATGCCGAAGCAAGATGGAGGTCTGGTCAAGCTTGTGAGCGATGCGCCATGAGCGTTGAGGAGATCAGCCATGCCATGGAGGACAAGGAGGAGCAGATGGACCTCCAGGACGGCACTCGATGGCCGTCAGTGAACGATGTAGGCGGTAAAAATGAACCCGAAGGAGAAGTCGATGGTGGACAGAGCAAGAAGCGATCATTGCAGCGATCAGAAAGTTCAAGACGAGAATCAACAAAGAGTTTGCAGAGAGATAGGTTGAAAAGAAATGCGCAGCTGTTCAACAACAAGACAGCGATGCTTTGCTATGCTCAGGACTGTCAGCCCAAGACAATTACTGCGAATGCTCGAGTGGAGAGAAAGCGCTTCAAGTTTCTGCCGAGGCTGACAGAGTTTCTTAGGGGAAGAAGTGACGAGGAGAGGGTAGAAGCGATGGAAACAGAAGGCTTGGAGCACGAGGAGATGGCTTTCTCTTCCAGCAGTCCCTTTCGAACTCCCATGCTTGGGCCTCTCAAGGTGATGCAAGACTGACCCCTCGCCCTTCCTCACCCTTGCGCAGAAAGTCTTGGACAAGCAGAAAGAAATCCGAGAGCGATATCGCAGCCCCACCCACATCAAGCGAAGTGACAGCGACGGGTGGGCTGTTGAAGAAAAGCAGCAAGCCATTCTACCTGCTCAGCAACTGAGCGGGAGCAGGGGAAAGAAGGCAGCTAGCGGCAATACGGCTCTAAGTCAGCAGCTGAAAGACAAGAGATCGAGCTCGTCTCAGCCTGGCGGTCGATCTAGCAGGTTGTGGGATTTGCTGCATGCGGACCTTGAGAAGAAGAAGTACGAGACAGAGCAGCAAGAGGCGCTGATGTACCTGTTCAAGTATGTCTTTCACTACTTACTCTGCTCTCAGATCTCTGGCAGCATCACAGGACAACATGGGCGACGCCTACACTCTGGTTCGTCAACAAGTTGTATGTGAGCTTTTCGAGTGAGACTCTTGGCAGTTGCCTCTGAAGAAACGATCAAGCTCGTTGGCTTGGGCTTGTGGGTTGCAATGTCGCGGAGGATTTTGAGACTTGGGAGATGGGGGAGGGGCAAAAGAAGCTGATAATCCGTGTTGTAGCTTATCTTACTTGCTTGGTAAAGAGACCAGAGACCCGGTTTACATCAGCTTCAATGTTACAATTCCAGAGATCGACATGCTCTAACTCAAAGCCCATCTCGCACTTCTTCGCTAGTTTTCCGAGTTGTCGGAAGGCAACATCCATGGCATCCTCGCCACATATCTACCCTCTGCTACAGCAGGTGAGCTCTCCTTGCGCTCTTCCTCGTTCTCTTGTCCTTTGTCCTGAATCTCAAGGCTTTCAACTATCGTTGGCACTTCATCTTCCAGAACAAAGTCATCCAAGTCGATCAGGTCGAATCGCTTCTGCATCAGCTCCTTTAAGCGCTTGGCCCGTTTGAAGAGCTTTGCTTGCGCCCCTCTCAACCCTCCGCTCCTTTCGTCCCTCGGCTGCAAGGTAAAGTGATCGTCTACAAGCTGTAGCAGGCACGAGAGTGAAGGCCCAAGGAAGTTGGACTTTGCGATCTCGTCACGAAAGAAATCAGCCGGAACATGCTCGAGTTGCCGCCGAAGGGTGAGAACGAATTCAGACATGAGCTCAGGCTTGTCTGCGAGCATCTTTCCGCAAGAGCACAGCAGAGCCACACAGTTCTTCCAGAAGTCTAGAGCTTCCAACGAAGCGAGGAGCAGGAAGAGCAGAAAAGCGATTTGAAGCTCGGCGAGCAGTTCTCTCCAACTAGACAGAAGTGAGCAGGAGGAGAGCAGGAGGAGAGCAGGAGGAGAGCAGGAGGAGAGCACCTGTCACTCAGATGCGCAAGGACATGCTGCAGACGTATGCTCCCGTCCATGTTGAACTCGCTTATCTGCCACCACCATGAGCTCACCGCAGCCACTCCTCCACGTCTCCTCACATCCGCTGCTGTCATGCCTGGAAGGCGCCGCGAGGAGGACATCTCCACGAACTTCGGGGCCTGAGCGGGAGTCATGCGAGTGCCGTGGCGTCAAGCAGGATGCGGGTCTGGTCGCAGCCTCACCACAGGAGCATGCTCGACAGGTTGATCCTTGCGAGAAGCGCCTCCCGCCATGATGACTCGTGGAGCTATGCCGCATCGATCTCTTCAACAAGTATCTCCAATCAGCTCAGTGAAAATCTCTTGAAGCAGCTTCGGAAAGAGGAAGGGCTTACAGCGTGTCAAGAGTTATCCTGCGACATAAAAGTCACAAGAATGCCATTTTCTCCTCAGGCGTCTGTATAGTACATGTTGGAAAGCTTCAGCCATGCTTGGTAGTCTCCATCAGGAAATCTGACAGAGCTGTTAGTCATGGATAGTGCCTTTCTAGAGGACAGACTTCCCCAGCTCGGAATCAAACTGATACTCCTTAACCTTCAAGCACAGTCTTTCAGTACCGAAGGCATATATGCAGTTGTCAATCACACAGCGATCGCCAATCTCTCAGCCTGTTCGCGGTCATCGATGAGTCGAAGGTCCTCCAGTTTCTTTCAATCGTATTACTAGACCTCATCTCATGCAGACGCTTTCTCATTACCGCATCCCAAGTCCATGTTTCAATGCTCGACTTGCAGAAATGAAGGAAAGTGGCATGCTGTTTGACTATCACTCTCCTTCACATCCGACGGGATCACCTTGTCATGTCCTGCATCCCAGCACACCAGATGAAGACCAGGAGGAATCATTTTGATCCCTTTGAACTTCTCGCCGCAGACAAGACCAGCCATGTCGCAAGTCATCTCCGCCCCTGCCCACCCCACAAGACCGCCATGTGAGCACAGACCAACTCGAGGAAGCATCACCCCCAAGTCAAAGCATGCGGGGATAGTAGCGCATGCGGGGATAGTAGCGCATGCGGGGATAGTAGCGCATGCGGGGATAGTAGCGCATGCGGGGATAGTAGCGCATGCGGGGATAGTAGCACATGCGGGGATAGTAGCGCATGCGGGGATAGTAGCGCATGCGGGGATAGTAGCGCATGCGGGGATAGTAGCGCATGCGGGGATAGTAGCGCATGCGGGGATAGTAGCGCATGCGGGGATAGTAGCGCATGCGGGGATAGTAGCGCATGCGGGGATAGTAGCGCATGCGGGGATAGTAGCGCATGGTTGGCCTCTACCTCGCGGCATCTCCAGGCACAGTAGTGTCCCTCCAGCATGGAGCTGTCGCAGAGCCTCCTCCATGCCTGAATCTTTACTCAACAGCCTCTCCGATCGAGATCACAAGTCCGCCTCGGACTTTGAAAGAAGGCAGCGAATGAGGGGGATGAGGGGAGAGGACGGCAGAGGCGACGGCAGGGAAACGAGAGACGGGAAGAGGAGGAAGAAGATGGTGATGGACGAGCGAGGAGAGTTCAAGAAGGACAGGACAGGACAGGACAGGACAGGACAGGACAGGACAGGACAGGACAGGACAGGACAGGACAGGACAGGACAGGACAGGACAGGACAGGACAGGACAGGACAGGACAGGACAGGACAGGACAGGACAGGACAAGACAAGACAGGACAGGGACTGTAGAAGAGAAATGAGAAAAGAATTGTGGGAAATGAAGGATGATGTGGTATGATGGCGGCAGAGGTGGTTAGCAAAATGCTTTGCGATGCGAGAGTGTAAGAAGGATCACGATGATTAGAGTGTGTAATGTTGCACTGGCAGAGCTGAAGGCTAACAAGGAAGGATAGGAGGAGGAGTGATCAGACCGTTGATATTAGTTTAGAAAGAAGGAGTAGCAGTCTGTCTAGCGTTACTTCCTAAGCCGCACGGAAGGGTGAGGTGGTTGATATAGAGAATGACCCCTCGAGAATAGAATGGTGGCAGTAGTACTGCTGGAGAATAGAATGGTGGCAGTAGTGCTGCTGGAGAATAGAATGGTGGCAGTAGTAGTACTGCTGGAGCATAGAATGGTGGCAGTAGTAGTACTGCTGGAGCATAGAATGGTGGCAGTAGTAGTACTGCTGGAGCATAGAATGGTGGCAGTAGTGCTGCTGGAGAATAGAATGGTGGCAGTAGTAGTACTGCTGGAGCATAGAATGGTGGCAGTAGTACTGCTGGAGCATAGAATGGTGGCAGTAGTAGTACTGCTGGAGCATAGAATGGTGGCAGTAGTAGTACTGCTGGAGCATAGAATGGTGGCAGTAGTAGTACTGCTGGAGCATAGAATGGTGGCTGTAGCTCTGCTGGAGCATAGAATGGTGGCAGTAGTAGTACTGCTGGAGCATAGAATGGTGGCAGTAGTACTGCTGGAGCATAGAATGGTGGCAGTAGTAGTACTGCTGGAGCATAGAATGGTGGCAGTAGTAGTACTGCTGGAGCATAGAATGGTGGCAGTAGTAGTACTGCTGGAGCATAGAATGGTGGCAGTAGTGCTGCTGGAGAATAGAATGGTGGCAGTAGTAGTACTGCTGGAGCATAGAATGGTGGCAGTAGTAGTACTGCTGGAGCATAGAATGGTGGCTGTAGTAGTACTGCTGGAGCATAGAATGGTGGCAGTAGTAGTTCTGCTGGCAGACCCTCCTAATGGACTTGAGTCCTTGTAGACCAAGAGGCTCAGATGCCATCAGAAAGTTGTTTGGAAGCGGCTCAGTGCGACCTGATACACCCAACTAGCATTTCGAAGTTCGAGCAAGTTTGCAAACACAGATTTAGTGGATGGAACATTCTGATGAGGGTCATCAAGCGATAGCCAGTGGATTCCACGTGAGAGATTATGTCAGCTAGCTTCATTTGTGAAGAATGCCCCAAGCGGCATTTCCCGTGATGTGATCTATTTCTGCATTCCACAATTCATAGATACAAACATCATGTTGAGCGCTGCCGCTTATTCGTAACGATGTTCGATTGTTGGAAATAGTAAGGGAAAGGCGATAAGCAGCCAACGAATCAAGCATTGAGATAAATTCTGAGAGTTTGCATCTTTGCTCTCGAATCAATCGGAAGAGCCTTACAAGAAACAAGCTGTCTGGGACTGTATATTGAGAAAATCATGAATGAGGTGCGATAATAATTCTCATGGGACAGACGGATCTGCACATGTTGTTTGATCCTTGTAGCATCCAATGTTGTGTGCAGCTCATGGTTGTTCGATGAGGCTTGGTGAAAGTCTGATGTGGTACAGGAGTGTGATAGGTTGTTAGGATAGCAGGCGATGAGTTGCATTCAGCATTCGTGCAAGGATGTCAGTTTCTCCGTCTGATGCTACACCTATGAGCATCAAAGTTTCGTTGTCCTGTGTTGTATGTTGTCTATGATCAAGTAGAAAGGAAGTGTAAGGGTTGTTCGGAAATTTAGATGTAGTAGGACGAGTGGTTTGAGAGCAGGGTTGTGCTGAAAAGGAATCAATCTGATGTGCCATGCGATGTTTACTTGAGCAGCAGTCCAGCTACTGCTTGTCAACCAGGTTCTCCATTTGAAGATTTGTGCAGGGAAGAGGACGAGGAAGGAGAGGGAAGGCCCCGATCCCAAATGCAGGAGGTGATTTGTTTAAGATCCTTCTCGTTGTTGAAACGGGCCGAGTCTTGTGATTGCAAACTTGCTGTCACCAGAGGCATGTCTGACTTGTGGCTGTTGTATCATCCTCTCCCCCTCTGTACTCGTGTTGGTCTCAACTCTCGTTCAGGCAACAGGCAACCGTTCCGCCCTGGCATGTCACGAGGAGCTCTCCCTCTTCAGCCTCCTCGCAGCCCCTTCAACATGCCGAACCCCATGGGAAGAGGCTTGCTCCCCTTCCCTCGCGTCTCCCCAGGAGCATCTGCCCCCTTCAACAATCTCAGGGGCTCAGGTCCACTTCATCGCGAAGCTGCGGGAGGGCTGAGACTTGTCAGGCTCCACCGCGTCAGCTCCGCTCGGAAGCAGGGCGCCGACGTTCACAGGCAACAAACCTGCTGCTCCAGGCATGACCTCAAGCATGCCGTTCAACCCGCCGACACCTTCTGGGCGACCGATGGGCTCCATGCCCGGAGGTCCACGAGAGGCTGCGCGTTGAAGTTGTCAAGTCTGCCTGCAGGCTCTGCGTACGGCAAGGGGCTGCTGATGCCCCCGGCGAGCATGTTTGCCCTCGAGAAGATCCGACAGATTGAAGCCGAGAAGGAGGAGGAGATCAAGCGCCAGGTGCCTCGTGCCTGCAGTCCATGCTGCCGTGACTGATCTGCTGCTCTAGGAAGCTGAGATCCGGCGGTTGAGAGAACAATGTGAGGCAGAGAAACGTGAAGTAGAAAGGCTTCGTGAAGAAGAGCGACGAAGAAAGCGCGAAGAGGTTCTGATTGTGCAGTGCCTGCCGACGAGGATGATGGGGCTTGACTTAGGAGCTGAAGGTAGAGGAGAGGAGAAAGCGAGAAAGGGAAGAAGCCATGAGAATGCAGCGAGAACGAGACAGGTTGGAGAGGGAGAAAGAGAGAGAAAGAGAGGTATCCTCTACGTTTTTATGGGTCATTGTCTGTTAACCTTTATTTAGATTGAGTTCATGAGGAAACAGGCCATTCGAAACATCGAGATGATTCAAGATCGTCGTCAAGTTGTCAACCATGCAGGTCAAGGTCTCCCTGCTCACATGGATCACAAGAACATCCATGGGGTCTGTCGGCTGCTCTCATCCGACTTGTGGCTGAGAGTGAGGCAGCAGCATGCCATGGGGCACTCGGTCGTCATACCCAACCAGCAGAGCTACGGCGAGCAATTCAACGCGCTGGGTCAGCAAGGCTTGACTCCTCCTGCGCAACAACAGGTCGCTCTTCCTCGTCCTCCCGCCTTCACCTCACGCGGTTGTCAGCCCTACATGACCAGCCAGCCTGATCCCTACAACCCCTACGCATACGTCTACAGCCAGCACGAGGGTCTGCGAGAGGCTTCGTGCCACCACAAGCAGTGACTTGAAGGTTTCAGCGCCGGCAGCCCAGCAGCCAGTCCAGTCCTACGCTCAGGTGCCTCCGCCCTCCTTGATCGCTTCCTGGCTTGTGCTGATTTCTTCACCTCCTCTCGCAGCAAACGAACTATTATCAGCAAGCAAACGCTTACCAAGGTACCCAAGCCTACGCTGCGCCACAGGATTCTGCATACAATGCCGCATACAACGCGGCCCCCTACCAGACGCAACCTGGTGTTCCCCTTATCTTCTCCTTGCGCGCTCTTGTGACTCTCTTGCAAGGGTACGAAGGGCAGCAGTCGAACCCGTATGTGTATGACCCCCAGCAGCCTCAGATGTATAACGTGGTGAGCTGCTTGCTCGAGCATGCCGGCAGCTCTGACGGGGCTCGTAGAACACCAACCACGCGCCATACGCGCCTGCTCCCCTGCCTCACACGGCCTACGCCCAGGTGAAGGAGCGAGGGACGTGACCTGTCGCTTAGTCCCCGCAGCCTTCCCCGGCCACCGCCATGTACAGCGCCGGGATAGCCGGAGGGCCTCAGGTAGCGAGTGAGTGGCCGCGGGGGTGGGAGTGACGTTGTGCTGCAGGTGTACAACCAGGTAAGCTAGACGCGGAGGAGACGAGGGAGAGGAGAGGGAGGAGGGGTGGGGTAGGGAGGAGGGGAACAGGGGGGTCAGAGTGTTCAGCTGCTGGCTGATTGTCGACGTAGGGAAGTCAAGGGGCTGGTCGAGGCGACGCGAGTAAGTTGCTGATGCTGCGAGACGGCGAGATGACGCCAAGGGTCGCAGGAACTTTCAAGTACACCAACGTGAGATGAACAAGTGGCGAAGGAGGAGGGGGGAGGGAGGAGGAGTCAATGGACAAGGCAAGATAGTTCATGACTGCAGAAGCTTGTTGATCTCCTCCATCACTTTCTCTCTCCTCCCTGCGCACACCCATCACCCGCCGCCTGCACGCATAAATCTCACCCATCGCTCCTTCCTTGCTCTCGAGCCGAAGATCCAGCGACTGGCAGGCAGTGAGAGTGAGGAGGCGAAGCATCGCAGCACCTTCACGAGCTCTTGAGCAGCAGAGTTGCAGTAGATGAGCTTGGAGATCGCGAGGAGAAGTCGAAACTCTGCGAGAGGTGAGGGAGAGGAAGGGAGAGGAGAGGAAGGAGGGGAGAGAAGGGAGAGGAAGCGGAAGCTCGCAGTCGTTCACCTGTCTCTTCGTCCAGCTCATTGCTCAATGTGTGCGCCATACCTGAGAGGAGCTGAACCATCTCGATGGACTCAACCTGTACGAGGGTGAGAGGAGGAGAGGAGGGGACCTCCGACCTTAGGAAGGTGCAGGGCAATGTTGTAGAGGAGAGCAGCTGCCGACATCCTGAGCGCCATGTCCTCGCGCCCCACCAGCTCCTGCAGCTCCATCATCCTCGTCCTCTCACCCACCCACCAACTCAACCTTCCCCGTTACTCTCCTCTCCTCCTCACTGATCCCCTTCCCCTCCCCTCCTTCCCTCCCTTACTCCCCCTCCCGCCTCCTCACCAGCCCGCAGTCGATGGCCTCTCCGAGCATCGCCGTCTGCATGAACATCTTTGCGCCATGCTGCTTGTAGGGTCACAAGCCCAGCACAAGCCCAACACGCGAACCGAATATGAGAAAACGTTGGTAGCCACAAAGATGCCACGTAGCTGAACGATCCTGAGTTCCCGTCATCCTCCCCCCCTCCCCTCCTCCTCCCCTCCTCCTCCTCCTCCCCTCCTCTCCTCCTCTTCTCACTTGGGCACGTCCTTGTGTGCTGCAAGGCATCTCTTGATGATAATCGACGTCGGGCTTGTGCTCGAGTTTGCGTAGTGACTGTTGACGGTCGAATAAAGCTACAGGCGTGTCAGACACGAGGAGAGCGGAAGAGGAGAGGGAGGAGAGGAGAGGGAGGGGAAGGTCGCGGTAGTGGTTGAGAGGGATCAGCGAGGGAGGAGAGGGAGGAGGAGGAGGAGTGGGAGAGGAGGAGTGGGAGGGACGCACTAACCATAAGGAGGCGAAAGATTTCTAGCACGGGGCCCCAGGAGTGCACAGGCCATTCTGAAGAGTCTAAGAGGCAGAGCAGAGGAGGAGGCGAGCTCACCAGCAAGGATCTTTGCTAGAAACCTGTAACATTCTCTCGGCAGAGGTTCCCCGCAGTCCACAGGGAGCTTCAAGTATTCCTCCAGCGCATCCATCGCTCTCGACTGCATCACGGACTAGCTCACTTGTCGTCTCCTCCCTCGTCTCCTCACCTCCTCTGATGTCGCCTCTGTGCCGGCATCTCGATGACGAGCCTCGTGGAGGGATCGCAGCTTTGACATGTTCATCTGCCCGTTGTCCCCCTTGTCGTGCAGGAGGAAGGGCTTGTCGTAGCTAGAGATGAAGGGAAGCTCCAGCGACGCGTGCGGATGTGCTGTCACTGCAAGACGTCAGGCCCCAAAGCGCCCTCCTCCTCCTCCTCCTCCTCCTCCTCCTCCTCCTCCTCCTCCTCCTCCTCCTCCCTCACCCGTCGGCTCCGTGAAGACAGGCATCGACGTCCCAGCGTTCTGCCGCGCGTAGTCCTGCACTCGGTCGAGCATTTGACGGATCATGCCCCCCAGCGGGGTCTGCATGACGTCGTCCGGCAGGCCCGTGATGTAGTCCGGGATGCTCTTGCCGGTGAGGAACTTGGCTGCCTCCTGGGAAAAGTGGTTGCAGTTGTTGCGGAGGAGGTCGTAGGTGTCCATGCTGAAGCGCGGGGAGATATCGTTGAGGAACTCGATGAAGACGTCTGAGCGAGGTCAGCGCTGCAGCTCAGGTTGAAGTCGCTCCTTCTCACCTTCGGGTATCCTGGTCTCTCCTAGATCGATCCTGTCGACGGGATGCCCGTAGGGGGTCCGGCCCGGCATCCCTACCTGGATGCCTCCTCCGAAGAAGAATTCCTTGCCGTAGCTCACAACCCCCGTGTGCCAGATGCCGTCGATCTGCTTCCCTAGAAACGCCTGCGACATCTGTACCAAGCTCAGTCCCCTCCCTCGCAGACAACCTTGTGCATATCCTGCTAACACCTCGCCTCTTCCTCCCTCTGCTCTGCTCTGCTCTGCTCTGCTCTGCTCTGCTCTGCTCTGCTCTGCTCTGCTCTGCTCTGCTCTGCTCTGCTCTGCTCTGCTCGCCTCATTCTCTTTACCTGTCGAGCCAGCCCATTCGACAAGTCGTAGACATGCAGCACAACCTGCAGGTGAGGATGAGAAGCGCCAGCAGCGCTCAGCGTCTCTCACCGAAGACGCAGGAGAGGACATGTTCACCCGTCAGCAGCCTGACCGTCAAGTCACAACCCTAAAGCTCGGGGAGAGATAGCAAGAGGGTGGCTGCTTCTTTCAAGAGGAACCTACGACCTCGCTACTTCCATGAAGCGAGCAAGTCTCATTATCGCCACCATCCCCAAAACTCCTCTCTTCGTCCTTTCATTCCACCATCATCATATCACCATCATCATCGTCATCGTCAGTACCACCATCGTCATCGCCAGTACCATCATCATAGTCATCATAGTCGTAGTCGTCATAGTCGTCGTCATAGTCGTTATCGTCAGTCCTACAATAACCACCACCACTATCATAATCCCCATCATCATCATACTAGTGTCCAGCAGTATTTCTGTTTTGCTTCTGTTTGCCTTCACTCAACATTTCTTCCAATCGATCTCCTCGAAATTTCGCTCCCCTGCTGCTGCTTTTGCCTTCAGTCTCCCAGCCAACTCTCACTCTCGTTCTCCTCCTGCTCCTCCTGCTCCTCCTGCTCCTCCTGCTCCTCCTGCTCCTCCTGCTCCGCCTGCTCCTGCACCATCATCTGTGCTTCCTTGCTATCGTCATTGTCCTGATTTCTGAAATTTGAGTCTTTTACGGTTTTTTTGGTAGGACAGGGGCCATGCGGGAATGGGAGCGTGGACGGTCGGGGGAAGGGACGGGGCGTGGGGAGGGGGAAGGAGGAGGAGGAGGACGAGAAGGAGTGCCGATGGATGAGACTCATGAGATGCTGGTAGGAGAAGGAGAAGGGTCTCAGCAAGACATGTTGGAGATGGTCGGAGAGAGCCAGCAGTCACGAACGAAGGATGCGGTTTCGGACGAAGACTTGTCGACATGCTGCAAGGTGCTGGAGCATCTGGCAGGCCGCATGGACGAGTACAGGTCTCCCCGCTACAAGCCTCTGAGGAAGCTGCTGGTCCCTTTCCTGGAGGAGGAGGGCAAGAGGAGGTTCGGGGGGATGGGGAAGGAGATGCATGCAGCAAGGAAGCAAGCGATCAAAGTAGCGCACATACAGCAGGAGCGAGCGAGAGCCAACGACCGCAAGTTTATCGAGAACACGCGCTTGCGAGCAGCCCGTCGAGCCCGTCTTGATGCTCTGAAAGCGTCGAACCCTGACTGCGCTCACCTCCTCATCCCCGACGGACACGCCGAGGACGAGGGGAGCGTGAAGTTGATCGGAGCTGCGGAGGTGATGGGAGAGGGTAAGGAGGTGCCGCAATGTCCGAAGGAAAAGGAAGGAGAGGAGGAGAAGGAAGGAGAAGAGAAGCGACTGCTGCATCATGCTCGCTCGTGCTACATCTGTAAGGTCCGCTTCCACGAGCTTCACTTCTTCTACGATCAGCTGTGTCCTCATTGCGCGGAGCTCAACTACCGGAAGCGCCTGCAGACAGCAGACCTGACGGGGAAGGTGGCGGTGCTGACAGGCGCGAGGGTGAAGATCGGATACCGAGTTGCTCTCAAGCTCCTGCGTGCTGGCGCGACTTTGATAGCCACAACGAGATTCCCGTGAGCAGCGAGAGAAGGAAAGGAGGGAGGACGAGGAGCAGAGGAGAGGAGAGGAGGGAGGAGGAGAGGGGGAAGAGGGAGGGCTGACAAGTGGAACAGGTTAGATGCAGCTGAGAGGTTTTCGCAAGAGAAGGACTATCAAGACTTCAGGACGAGGTTGCATGTGGTTGGTCTTGACCTCCGAGATGTCGTTGCCGTCGAGCTCTTCGTCGATCTTCTCAAGCGCGAGTTTGCGAGCATTGACATCATCATCCACAACGCTTGTCAGACTGTGAGGCGACCCGCCTCCTACTACTCGCCCCAGGTCGACAAGGAGGAGAGGATCGCCAAGGAGAAGCGCGCAGGTCTCGCTCAGCTTCTCCAGCTGAAGTCCAGCTTCGAATCGTCTCTACGCTCGCATCTCACCATGCTGAAGCAGTCAAGCCTCATCGGCGAGCAGACCCTCCTCCAAGACGCGCACGGACCTTGTACCTCCTTCTCTTCCTCCTCTCCTCCTCCCAGCAGCTCCACGGAGTTGAAGATCTCCTCCTCCTCCTCCACCTCCACCTCCTCCGACGTCTTCTCTGTCTCGCAGTCCTCGCGGCTCTCCTTGGCTCCTCTGCTCCCCGACGACTCTCATGAGCACGACGCCCTGCTTCCTCCCGGAGCTCTGGACGTCAACGGGCAGCAGGTGAGGGTGGGTCATGGGGGCAGGGCTGACGTCGGGGGCAGCTGGACTTGAGGAGGGCCAACAGCTGGGTTATGAAGCTGGAGGAGGTGAAGACGCCCGAGGCCGTTGAGGTTTTCTTCGTCAACGCCATCGCGCCCTTCACGCTCAACTCGAAACTCATCCCCCTCATGCGGGGGGAGCAGCCTCGTTTCATCGTCAACGTCAGCGCCATGGAGGGAAAGGTGAGGGAGAAGAGGCGAGGCGAGAGGGGAGGGGAAGGGAGAGGAGAGGAGGGGAGAAGAGGGGAGGGGAGGAGAGGAGGGGAGAAGAGGGGTGGAGGGCGGACAGCCCGGCGGTTTGCAGAGAACAATGACAGGTTGCTCGTAGTTTCTTCACATCATGTCAGACATACACAAGAAGCAACAAGGACATGGACCTTCTCTTCTGATCTGCACAATCTCCGTTCATCCCATCTCCACCAGCGAGGGAGAACAAGTCCTCAAGCTTCAGATCTTGTCGACTTCCAAACAACCCGACCACTTCAAAATTCCTTGTCTGGTACGAATGTCAGATAATATCTGCCGTCGTAGAATACATCATCGTCCTCGTTGTCGTCGTAATCGTCATCATCATCATCATCATCATGATCTTCTTCTTCTTCTTCTTCTGCATCGTTGTCGTCGTCACCAACATCATGGTCATCACCTCTTGTCCTCCGCTCGCCCCTCCCTTGTTTCCCTTTCTCTCCTTTGCTCTCCTGTCCTTTCCTCTCCTGTCTTGTCCTCTCCTGTCCTGTCCTGTCCTGTTCCGTCCTGTCCGGTCCTGTCCTGTTCCGTCCTGTCCGGTCCTGTCCTGTCCTGTCCGGTCCTTTCCTCACCTCACCTCACCTCACCTCACCTCACCTCACCTCACCTCACCTCACCACCCCCTCTCTTCTACCCCCTGCCCCTCCCCTCCTTGGTCAACTCGAGCTTCTTGGATGGTGCCTCCCATGACGTCCTGCAAGGTGAAGCTCCCAGCTCCACTCCGCTGGGAAACTATTCAGAGCCTGAATAGTGTCTGAATTCAGAGCAAATT